GTTTATGTACAGATGAGTCCTCAGTGGGGAGTTTTGCATCAAGGTGTACATCAGGTCAAGTGCTCCCCGCATCAGTGTTAGCCTGGTAACACAACCTATGTGACCCAGACAAGGAGATCTGGTGAAAACCTTTAGCATATTTCTAACAATTAGTTAATCGAAGAAAAATGGAGAAAGTATATTACCATTAATGTTTTGTTTTGTTTTGTTTAGAGAAATTCTTTATCAATTAACTTAAATTTGTTTAATTTAGTGTTTGTATTGCCTCAAAGGTGGTTGAGCATACGTACTATATTCTTACTCATATTTGATTTGGCGGTGAGGAAGCAGCATTTCCGGTTGAACACCGTAACATAAGCCGGCCATTGCTCTTCGAGCAATGAGCCTGGCTAAAAATGATACGTGTGATTTCCTTAATGATAATGAATAACAAACAATTTACAAGTGAACAACTTATGTTAATGTATACTCTGTAAAATGAACTATAGAAATAAATCTATACTTACTGCGTCGAAAGAGTCTGGCAATAACTTGTATTCAGATCGTTAGATCAATCCGTTAATCAGGCTTGGTTAAACTCGTTAGATCAATCCGTTGATAAACTTCGTGTTTCCTCGTGGAATTTTTTTTCCCGAAAGGTGGCGCAAGTTGCAAAATTTTATTCAGTTGGACTATTACTCGTTTACTCGAGTGAAAAAATAATATCCCTTCTATTTCTATAAAATCAACCATCTTGTATCTATTGCTAGTGATGTTTTATCAAATACAATTATTTATTTTTTCTTCAGATATTCGTACAAGCAATACAGCCTTACAAGACCTATTAATTTATAGTACGAGTTGTTGTTATGCAAGTAGATATTACTCCGCGTAGCGCACGTTTGTTGATATGACCAGTCTAGTTTGTTGTTGTTTTCTCTCTTTGTTTTTATTTATTTTTTTCCCCTTTTCTGTTATCTTTGTTGCTTTCAAACCATAAACAACGTATATATGTGAGATTTTACGTTATTTGATATTTAAAATTAGACAATGAATATCACCAACTTGTCATTATACATTGGCACTATTTTCAATTGCGTTTTTAGAATAAACATTGCATGTTGAGTCCTTTGTCGCCGCAGTAATTGAGAGAAAGAATTGGGGGTCGTCAGCAATGAGGCCACATCGCTGATAGCGATGCGCCTCAAAAAATCATATAACATTAACTTTATTATTTAACTTTTCGCTAGATATCAACAAATTAACTACATATATTATTTTCTACCAGTAGATGTCAGTGTGTATAGTTATATACCTCTTGCTCAATAATTTGCATTTGCAATTCTTGAAAGTATAAAGAGGTAAAAAGCTCTCTCTCTCTCTCTTTCATTAAAGACATTGATTGTGATTCTTGTTGATTTTCATTAAACATTTTAACTTTTTGATTTGTCAACACCTTGAGTTATTTAATTTTATACTTTTCTTAATAATTTGTCATTCCTGGTAGCAGAATGATGCAGTTTTAATTTGTGTGGGTATTTCGCTCATTAATTAAATTCAAGTTGTTCTTTGTGGAGTGAAATTAATATTTTGTTTGTCTTGTGAGATATACATTTATGTAAATTATCATACTTAAAACCCCCATAAATTTACGTTGTTATTTATCAATACTTGTACACAATTCAAAGCGAATCAATTTGAGTATGAATTGTTTGGTTGATCAGTTTGTTTACCTATCCCATAATGCATTGCGTATTCCCGCGTTCATGATGGCAGGACTTTGCCTATTGGCGCTCTGCCTATTGGTTGTCTTTCTCGGTGTATTCTGTACTACAGACTGTAGTTCTACACTTTTGGGAAACATTTATTCCCTTATTTCAGTCTGCACTAACAGTAGATGCAAATGGATTGGCGGTGGGACCTATACGGGTTGTCTACCAGATGACCAGATTAAAATCACATTTGATCGCTTCTTGCTGACAGGACGCTTAAATTTGGTCTGTACAAAAGTAGAGAGATGTCACATTCTGCATGCTGATTTTGATTGTAAAGAAGTTGGAAAAGTAATTACACCGAGCGCGGATTTGGCACTGTTCATCGAACAGAAATATTGTGTAAGTAAAATGATTATACGTCACCATAGTAGTTGTTAGCATGATCCACAATTATTGAGCACAAAATAGACTAGAGAAAAATTAATTTTTGTGTGATTTGACTACATATCATTTATAATGTGTAACAAAATCATTTATTTCGATCGGGTATGGTCTTCAGAAAATAAAATTATAAGCGATAAAATTATATTAAACCGAGAACTGTAAGGAATAAACAAATTTGGCTTTCCAGAAAGCCTGAAATGTCATCTCTTTGGCTTCATTAATGTCACAGAATAAACAGTGGAATGTTATATTATTTCTCAGCTATTACAGGCAGTAGTATCGCTTTTGAAATAATGGGGGTTGGAGGACAGAAAAAAAATCGACGATTTATCTGAACAATCTTTGAGAAGGGGAAAAAGGGGCTATCCAAACTCAACATTATCAATTCTTGGAAGGAGGGAGTACAACTTTTCCGACAACCATATTTTATATTATAATACATTCTCATGGGATGATTTGACGTACCATATGCATACTGCAACAAAAGGTGGAAGAGGGGTCAAGGGTGCGCCTTTTCAATGTTTGGGGAAAAAAGTGGAAGGGGACGGCCCTCCTGGTGCTATGTGCCTGTATTATTTACCTGTAATCTGTACATAATCTTACGCAGTACAGTTAAGGCAACATTTTCTATAAAAAGGCACCAAAAACGAGACACTTAAAGTTCAACCGTCTTATTTTTTAGCATGAAACTCTATCTGAAATATCTTAATGGCTTTATGAAGAGTTTGTCCATCGCTTTTCACATCGGTATTTTTTGTCATCATGTGACCCTCTAAAGTCACGTGAGCTCCGATTTTAGGTCAAAATATGAAATGTCAAATTTAACCAAAAAGTGCAAGGGCAAGGCAAACAATATTTGAACTGCACAAGGTTTCATTGTGTCCCTTGGTAACTATCCTATCGAAAAACTAATGCTCATTCAGTCAGATTTCTGAGATATTTAAGTTATTCATTGAAAACAAACACCAGTATTCAAAAATAGGGTATTTTTCATCATTTAATCGGAAATTTTAAATTGCCTAATGAATTACAAAGAAATGAGCATCACTTTTTAAAAAACTATACAGTAAAATAAAGAATTTAAAATATAAACCTACCTCTTGGGTTGTCGCCTTGCCCTTGCACTTTTTGATTAAAAATTGAAATCTTAACACATTCATTCTAAATATAGTTTTCAAACGCATCATTGACCCAGCATGGGAGATAACTCTGTGGTACTTAGTAGAGTTTGTGTACCTCGCAAATTTTAAACAAATACCTACGGACTGCGCTGGGCTTTATTTCACTAAATCAAATCGGTATGCATAAAAAATCTTTGACATTACTTTGTTTTGTATATCTTCGTTCTTTTATACGCTACACAAGACGTATTTGACACCTACCGCATTTCCTCCGTTCGCCTAAAATTTGCCGCAACATCCATCATGTAAATAAATTGGAAAATGCCCATGGTTAAAAATATTGAAAGATCCAGTCATTTGTAATAAAAATAAAACATAGACAGCCCCTATCAATGATTAAACATTTATTCTTCCTCAGTAGACACCCAGAAAAAATATCTCCAACAGAACTTGGTAGTTTTTTTTTTTTTTCATATGTGATTATTTTAGTTATCAAACCTTCAACTGTTTATGGATTCTAGACTACGTTAAAAGTTTTAAGAACAGAAGGAAGGGATTGGGGTGCTTACTCCTGTATTTAATAACCTGTTTTCCTTTCTACAGATCTAACCCCCCCCCCCCCCCCTCACCAGTTTGCCTCTGGCTCCTTTGATACCATATACTTACTGGCATGTTAAAAATAAATTATTAAACAGTGTTTACATCAGGTTTTACTTATTTGGGTATTGTAGCACAAATCATATCGGCGTAGGGGGGGGGGGGGGGTTGTCTCATGTTTTTTGAGTAATTATCAATCAATGCGCAAACAAGATAATCATAGTAAAAACTTTGTAATACAGAAACAGATACTCTGTTAAAGAACAGGTGAACACAATATACATGCTGCAATTTAGATCTTGTTGTACCCCAAAGCACAGACAGGCGCATACCAGAATGAAAGTGAAATGTACGAAGAGAACGGCTGGGGTCCGCTTTGAGACCCCCAGTGGGTCCAGATGAGGGCCCAGGGGCGAAGTCCCTGGAAGCTCATGGTTTTTACCAAATATTTCATTCAAAATCATGCCATTTCGATTTTATTTAGAAAATACAAGACATAGTAATATTGTTTTTAAAAAAAGTTAAATACTTCCGTGCAAATTTATTGTACATGTAGAGGCTGAATATTTTTTTTAAAAGATATATTGGTATCATCTTTTGGCAACAAATATAATTAATAATTTCAATTTTTAACAAAAAAATATTTCAAATCATATTCTAGTGGATCACAGCATTCAACCGTTGATATTTTCTCAAAGATCTTAAAATAAATTATCAATGTGTTGTAGAAGAATTACAAATTAATGAATGTTTTATTTGGTTTTGGCAATGATTTAATAAAACATTACCATATTTTTTTTTTAATAAAGACATGGTAATATAGAATTTGAATTTGAATCGAAACAGTATGAGATAAAATAATTTGAAACACAAATATTTGCTGGATGGTATTGATATTTTTTCTCTTCTCACAAATCTCTCCCCCCCCCCCCATTTTTTTTAAATTTGTAAACGATGTGTACGCACCTGCGTATTTGCCTATAAGCAGCTACGCGCCTGTCAGAATACATGCAAGTAAAGATACTCAAATCTTAACAGCCATCAAACTTTCACACCATTGTACTGTTAAAAATTCAAAGTATTAGTTATCTAGAAAATTTATTTAATTAAAAACAGCCTTTCAAGTTCAAAGACAAGCTGTAAAGGGATTTCTGAGCAGGTTCAAAATATTTCAAACAGTCCACAGTTCAAACAGTTCTTCTGGATGAAAGCAATTCTGAAAACAAAATGAAATACCATTATGGAAGGTTCATTGGTGTTTTAAAAAAGTGATACTCAAACCAATGCATTGAGTAACATGGAAAGCATATACATGACTCTACTGTTTTTATTATAAAAACATTTCAATAATCTTGCTAGGAATATATATGTTTAGAAATTATATGGAGCATACCTTTTTATTTTATTGGTGGAAACACTTGCTGCCTGAATGAATTGTTCAAATTGTTTGGGAGTACATGTAGCTACAACACAATATATATGTAATGAGTGAAAAACATAATGATTACTATTGTAGAATGAAATGACATTGCATTGTACAAAACAAACCATGCTATACTATATTTTCTGAAATTCATATTAAAATAAATGGAAACAAACTTTTGATACAAAACTTTTCTGGGAAATTGAAACCTTGCAAAAGTAGAATTGGTAGCTATACTTAATTTAAGTAAAAAAAAAATCAATATACTAGAGATAACATTTAATTCTTTCACCTATACAACATTTAAAAAAAAATTTTTTACACTGGCATACTATAAAATTAATGTGAAATGCTTTAGTGTGATCATACCCAGTGGAGAAATTGATGCATCTATTTTGATAGTTCTAGCTGATGTAAATGCTAGTTTTAACCAGTTCTGTGATAGCTACAATGACAAAAGAATTATACATATAAACAGTACATAAATACATGTATATACATATCAGACTGACTTAATGTACATGTAGTCAGACAAATGAAAATTCAAACATTTTATCTTCATTAATGTAGAAATTCTACAAATTTACAGCCTAGTGATATAGATAGTAAAAGTTCTATGATGAATTTAAAATATGAAGCACTGGTAAAAACTGAAATCTTAAAATTCACATATTTTTGATTGCCAGAGGTAAAAATTAAAATTTATAGGGTCTTATACTCTTGTATGTACAGTGCACATACATTGTACACTGTGCAGTTTGACTTCACAAATACACTGTAAGTGTGACTGCATCAAAATTATACTATTTGATATCATGACGTGCTGTGCTTATATTATGTTACATGTTTGTACATGTATGCCAAAGGACAACATCATTGCATATTTAAAAGTGTGCAACTTTCATAATGTGTGTTTTTGTGTATGTGTGTGTGGGGGGGAGGGGGGGGGGCACATAAGGCATTGCATTGCAGTTTGTGACGGACTGTAACAATACATCTTATTGTACATGTTCAAGGTTATTTTACATCGATGTAAAGAATAGTATGTCTACATGTTAATACCTATGCACATACACACCTTAATGAACAGAAAGGGACCTAGGGAGGTAGTGCGGATCGTCTCAGTTTTCCATTATTTCCCGAAATAACGTCATCATCTTCTCATCAAAAAGATAAACAAGGCCCAGGTCTCTTATTTTATCCCTATTCTCTTTAAAGATTGCCTGATTGTTGCATTTATCCACTGCATATCTCAGCTGCTGTCGCCACGTTTTTAGATGTAAACAACATTCCGTGTCACCGAGTGCAAGCGCTTGGCTGAAGCCGAATGCAGCCAAACGACACAATAAAAAGAGAATTATTTCGAAGACGTGTTGTTACTATATAAGAGAAAATCACTAATGTTTATTTATTTAAACCTAAAAATACAGATATTCATTACAAATTCTCGCAATCATCATTAAATAGCTTTTTTGAGCTCTATTTCCTTATATGGATCTATCAAGGCGGAGCAACTGTCATGACGTCAAACCTCATTATGACCTCATTACCATATTATCTTCATGTGTAGCCTTAACTGTACTGCGTACCTTCTTCTGCGAATTTTTGTAATTTTCCAAGTAAGAAATTGCATGTCTTGTCTTCTGGAAGTTCCTTTTTTCGCAAATACTTTGTGAGTGCTTGAAAGCCATGTTGGAATACGTCCCCGAACAAAAAATCCTTATCATTCACACCCTCATATGCTTCTGTCTCACACCTAACTCTTGAAAAACCACAGTCGGATGTTGCATTCCATCCCTTGATCTTAAGAGGAAATAGTTTAACTGCATCTTTCGACTTTTCATTTGCGAGACATGAAAGATATGCAGCGTTCGCAAATTTCAGAATAGTGTTTGGCCGATCTACGCGTCTCTATGCTTTATTCAGTTTAAATATATTTTGTATAATGTCTGTAAAAAAATTCTAACCACTGCGAAATATTCGTAAGAATTATTTAAAGTCATATATTGCGTATTTTTTTTTTATAAGTTCAGACTACCTAAATTAAAAAGATCTTTCCATTTGTTTTATTACTTTATATGAAAATAGGACTTTCCTGTAAATTTCACAATTTAAATCAACCTTTTTTCTAAGATATTAGAAATTTAAAACAATTACCGATTTATTTACCGATTCCGATTTTAATTAACAGACACAGTTTAATTTTTTTTAATCAGTCGGACTAGGGAAACATGAGGTTATTCAAGTTCAAAATCGGTGAAAAATTTAATTTCAACGTAAATAACATATATCATGATTAGCTACACCCAATCTCGTATTTTTATTTTTTAGCTCAGATATGCCATATATAGCTTTTACAATTATTCCAAAAGAAGATGGATAGAAAATTAGCGTTCCTTTTGACTTTAGTTCTTAGCCACCTACTGCGGCAGCAAAGAAGTTTTAAAGCGCCAACTTAAATTAATCTGAACCTGAATTAATTCCCAAGACTTTCCTTATTTTCCTTAATCGTATCCTCTGAAGTGAATTGGCCATCGAGCCACTGGGAATATCAAGGGAAAAATTGAGACACTCCTGCATCATGCCCTTCTGCTGCCCATGTAGATTCATGTTCTAACGCTATATTATGTATAATGTAAGTACATGTACATGTTTACGCTCCTGGGGAAAAAATCATGCATAGAAAGGTAAAACAATTGAAACGTTACCATTTAAAATTAAGTATTTACACACTGAATAGAACCCCAATCTACCAACATCAATTTTATAGGCTGTTCCGTGAGACACACATTTTATAATTTTGGCTTTATTTCAAGAATACGAGGAGTGATTTTTTTTAACCTTTTCTCATTGACAAAAAATGCAAATTCGAATTGCATAAAGAAAAATGATAACAGTTGCTTTGTTTATTAATTCTTAAAATCTGTGCCAGGTAAAGAAAACTGTCTTTTCCTAAAACTTTTCTACAGGGGTAAATTTAAATAAAAAAGAATTTAGAAAATACTCATAATGATTCTTTATGATCTTTATTCCAATGCCTGCTGCACTGAGTTACTTAAATCAGAGACATTTATGTTTCTGCCTAAATTGTGCTTTTAGGTAAAATTTCTTTTCTTCAAAATTTATTTATTTATTTATTTTTTTATTTTTTGAATAAGTTCTGTTTTATTTTTCATATATACGGCATTAATTATCGATTGACTAAAGTGCACATAATAGTAAAGTTTTTGCCATTGTATATATGCATTTAATGTGAGTTGTTATTGAAATGTTTTCACTGTTTTCTTTCGTCAGTAAATTTTGGATCCACGCCTTAGCTTATACATATTTGTCAATAATTTACCTCGTTTTAGAAATTGTACATACGTAGAGCATGCTCTTGCGTATCGAATCAACTGAGAGATATATACTCCGTATGCAGGTGATGAAGGTATATTGCTGCATAAGGGATGTTGACGATTGAAGCGTTTTAGGTTTAATTGTACGAGAATCCTCTGAATCTAACCCTCAGATTATGTAACAATAATACATGTAATTAACAACTTTTTATTCATATTTTTACATATGAAAAATGGTTTTCAATTTGAAAAGGCTATGAACAAAGACTCCAGCACCACTTCTTCCACTTGGTCAACTGCTACTTACACCCAGCCAAGCCAGGACTCCAGTTCTCCATCCCAAATGTCACCCTCTGGCACAGATAAAATCATCATTGAACCGTGCATATTATCTATTTCTCAAATCATCATCAGTAAGAATTCATCTTTATTCATTCCATTGATCAGTATCATAAGCATCCTTTCTTGTATTATGATCATTTTAATCATACCAGTTATTTTAATTTGTTTATATCATAAAAAGAAAATATTTCAAATTAACTCTAACATTATCAGACCATCCAATCAATTATTTTCAAGCTTTTCATTAGATATCTTTGATCGATCTGGAACTCAGAGTAACTTGTATGAAGATGTTTCAGAGATGGATACATCTTTCTAAATTATATCTTTTATTGCTTTCAGTCATTGGATTTGTCATTTCATTTGTTTCATGTTTTGTCATTATGACACAACATATTAAAAGACTAAGGAGAAGAAGAAGATTTAGTCAGCAATATCGCCCAGACTTTTCAGAAAGAGTACAAATGTCCCAAGCAGTTGAATCGTCAGTTTAATTTTATTATTTATAATGTACTTTATTCCATTTTAGATTTTCTTTTGGCAACAATAGCTTATTTTTTAAAAAGACACGCAGACCAAATTGAAGAAATTATGGTAAATATGTATAGAAATCTTATTCAACAAATAACTCAATGGTGCCAACAAAATGCTTTTCCAACTGTAAATCAAAGACCAAGACGACAAGGAAGAGCTCCAGAACGATTTGGATATTAAAGGTCAAAATTCTAATAATTATTGCGTCTTTCAATTTTTTTCTTCAAAATATCACCTCATCTATTTCATTTTCACAAAATCATGACACGTTTTTTCATTACAAGCCATTTGGAGTAATTTGTTCTTTTTCTTACATTTTTACTCAAACCGAATGTTGTGATTTTATTTCCATTCTATCTATATGAGGGTTACTATTTTGTACATTTTGTAAATGATCAGAACACTGATAATAAGAAATCCAGCTTTTTATGTGCTAAAATCTAGTCCATATATGTTTTGTAAACAAATACTGAACCTCAGCTTTACATTCCAACCTTAATTTTGCATTGATGTCTACTTTGATATTTTAACTTTTTATGTGTTTTTACTTTCATGTGAACACATGTATTAAAATATGTTGTGTTTTGATGCTTACAGTATTATATGCAAATTATTCATACACTGTGGTTGTCAATGAAGGAAACTGATTTTACATGTTTAAAATAAACAATTTTTTTTCTTAAAATATAAATGATTAAAAAATGCAGGTTCATCAGTATTATTGTCATATTTGTTGTGTTTCTTATATTTTTATTGGAAATTGGTGCTTTTTGATACTTTTTGTCGATTTCAACAATCTTAGATGCATTATTTTTTTTATACAAGTTTTGCCAATCAAGTTTCAGTTTTATAGATGTTGTTATTTAAAGTCAAATATATTAGTAGTATTTGATATTAGTTGTAATCTAGTCCTTCCATTTTTTAAAAAAAATCATTTTAGTGTAGTTTTATTTGACTTGTTATAAAAGGAGATACTATGCAATTGGTGCTTTAAAGTTTATTGCTTATCAGATACATGTGCATTGCATACTATTATGGTATAATTATTTGTCAGTTCCACTAATCAGGTAGCATTTTTGTTTTATTTGTAAAGTGTTTCCTATATATTTATTGAAAATTGTGATACTTTTTGTCAATTTCAACAATCTCAGGTACATTTTTTTTAATGACAAGTCTTCCCAATCAGGTTTCAATATTATAGATGTTGTTGTTTAAATTAAA